CTCTGACCATTTTTTAATTGGATTGTTTGCCTTTTTTAGTGTAGAGTTGTATATGTTCTTTATATATTTTGAATACTAACCCTTTATCAGATACATAATTTGCAAATATCTTCTCTCCCATTCAGTAGGTTGTCTTTTTGTCTTATGGACAGTTTCTTTTGTTGTGCAAAAGCTTTTTATTTTAGTATAGTCCTAATAGTTTAATTGTTTTTGTTTCCTTTGCCAAAGGAGATATATCTATAAAAATGTTTCTATAGTTCATGTCAAAATGATTGCTGCCTATGTTTTCTTCCAGGAATTTTATTGTTTCAAGTCTCACATTAATGTCTTCACTCCATTTTGAGTTTATTTTTGTGTATGGTGTAAGAAAGTGGTTCAGTTTCATTCTTTTGCATGTAGCTGTCCAGTTTTCCCTATACCATTTGTTGAAGAGACTGTTCACATATTCTTGCCTCCTTTGTCAAACATTAATTTACCATAAAAGTGTGGGTTTATTTCTGGGCTCTCTATTCTGTTCCATAGACAATGTATCTATTGCTGTGCCAGTACTATACTGTTTTGATTATTACAGCTTTGTGGTATGTATCTAACAAACGTAGATGAAAAAATCCTTAACAAAATGTTAGCAAGAGGAATCTGACAATTCATTAAAAAATATTTCATCATGATTAAGTGGGATTTATTGCAGGGATGAAAGGGTGGTTCAATATTCACAAATTAATCAATATGATACATTATACTAACAATAGAAAGGGTAAATGCCATATGATCATTTCAATAGACACAGAAAAATCACCTGACAAAGTACAACATCCATTCATGATAAACACTCTCAACAAAGTAGGTTTATAGAGAACATATCTCAATATAATAAGGGCCATAAATGAAAACCCACAGCTAACATAAAACCAATGATGAAAAACTGAGAGCTTTTCCTCTAAGATCAGGAATGAGAAAAGAATGTCCACTCTCATCACTTTTATTCAACATAGTACTAGAAGTTTTAGCCACAGCAGTTGGAAAAGTAAAAGAAATAAAAGGCATCTAAACTGTTAAGAAAGAAGTAAAGCTTTTCACTATTTGCAGATGACATAATACTATATATTGAAACTCTTACAAGGTCCACCAAAATACCAGAACTATTAAGTGAATTTAGTAGATTCTCGGGATACGAAATTGAAACACAGAAATCTGCTGCATTTCTATACACTAATAATGAAATAGCAGAAGGAGAAATGAAGAAAATATTCCCATTTACAGCTGCACCACAAAGAATAAAATATCTGGGAATAAATTTAACAAGTTGGTGAAAGACTTATACTTTGAAAGTCATGAAACACTGATGAAAGAATTTGAAGATGACACACACACAAGAAGTAAAGATATTCAATGTTCATGATTGCAAGAACCAATACTGTCAAAATGTCCATATTTCCCAAAGCAATCTACAGATTTAATGTAATTCTTATCAAAATACCAACAGTGTTTTTCACAGAACTAGAACAAATAATCATAAAATTTATAGGGAACACCAAGAGACCTCAAGTAGTCAAAGCAATCTTGAAAAAAGAAGAACAAAACTGGAGGCATTACCAGATCCTATTTTGAAAGCACTTTATGTCTCACACTTAAAAAATTCCCCTTTTAAAATACATGCACATTGAGTACAAACTGGGCCAGAGGTGTTTTTTATTTCGGTTTGTTTGTTTGTTTTTGCTTGTTATCAGCATGTTAACCTTTCCCACCTGTCCATTTCAAAAGGACAGTGGGGCTTGTCCATGTTGTGAGTGTGTTGAACTCCTCCACAGGCCGACCGCTGTGCTCAGAGACAAAATAGCGATGTTCTTCAGATTCCTTCATGCTGGTTAGATGAAACTCAAAGCCACACCCTTGAAGAGTGATAGAGTTAAATTGCATTTAACTTTGTTTCCTCCCCTCTCCAAAATCTGGCTAATATAGTTAATTGACAGAAACAACTGTACTTAGATATATAATTAGATATATAATTAGATATATAATTAGATATAAATAGATATATAATTAGATATATATCTAATTAGAAATATTTCTAATTAGATATATAAACTGCAAACCTCAAGGCCATCTCTCTCTTGCCAGTGGTTGTCCCTTGATAGCAAAGTAATTACCATATCAACAGCATTCACTCAATATCACCACTGAGGATTTCTCCCACAAAGCCTGCTGGAGAAAAGTGCCAGGCCACAAGGAAGTTTAATAAAACCATTTCTGCCTTCACTCTGACTTTGTAGAAGTGTCAATGCCCATGTTGTCTAGTCTACTCCATCTCTGAAGGGCATGGGTTTGTTTGTTTCTGCTTTTCCGTTTCAGTGTATAACAGTATACTACAATGCAGTTGTTTATGGGACTAGTGACATCACGGTTTTAAACCTTATACTTCTCTCTTGAATAGGAAATATTCAAATATTATTTTGTGCATATGACAGGGTTGGTCTCTGCCCTGACACCACCACATGGAATTATTTTTGGCTCTTCAGGCTCCCTCTTGCCCTCAGACCTTGCTCATACTGAGCTGCTGGGAACCCAGTCCACTGCTCCTCAACTTGTTTCATGAGTCTAACCCCTGTTCACCATCCAGGCACCAGTTCAGTTAAGCCTTCCCTAATGTCTCAGTTCTGAGTTAAGTGGCATGCAATTGTGTACACTCCTCACATTACATTTCAATTGCTTCTTTACTTAGTGGAATTTCCCAATAGACTGAGTTTCCTGAGATCAGAAACACTGTTTTGTTTATAAGAATGCCTTTAGCAGCTGGGAGGAATACTGCTGCTTTTCAGTAAATATTTGTTGTAGTATATTTAATTTTTTGTTCATAGTTCTGCTTTTCTTTCTGTGCTATGGTAAGCATTTGCTCACTTCTCCAATTAACTTTGGTTAACTTTGATGGCTGTGTGGTTTGCTTTAACAAATGGGATGTGAGCAGATATGACATATAGCACATCTTGGCAGAAGCTTTAGAAGCACTAGCATGATTTGATACTCCTCTTTTTCCTGCCTTCCACAGATAGAAAAGCATCTTTCAAATAGTGGCTACTCCAAAATTCAACTTAGTAAATTTGAAGATCTTACTTGGCTTTGTGTAGGGATTCATGAATCAGACAGCATCCCATGTACAATGTGGAGGAGAATTCCAAGGAATTGTACAAAAAGAAAGGTTTTTATAGGAAGGAGAGTAAGGCAACAAAGTTATTATGTATATATAAAAAAAAGGATTGTTTCAGGCAAAGCCAGTAGTAAAAGGTCTTATTGTGCAGATTGTCTCAATTTCCTTTGGAGGATGCAGAGGACCCATGTGGCCAATTACTTCATTGGGGCTGATCAGAAAATTCCAAACTGGTTAAAACTACATCTCTGGACAAGATTGAAACTACAATTAGATTAGGGATTAAGCCCCCATTTGGAGACAACCTAAATGATACCATTTGGATCTATGGCTTTCTTTGTAATATCTCAGTCTGTATTCAAAGAGAGAAGATGCATGAAACAAGCCAAGCCCAAAAGAGACCAGTAGAGAGCCCACTAACATGGGTGACAAATGACAGTTGTTGTAAATTGGTAAGATTTGGAGATTGCTGTTACCACATGAAAGTTGATTAATAAAGAAATTGATACCTAGAAGCAAAGGAATTACTATAACAACAATAAAATAAAATATGTGGTATTTGCACCATGCCTGCTATGGGAGCCCAAATTTTGAAGAAGGCTAGTGAAAATTTTGGTAAAACTATCACCTGAGATAACTTGAAAGGCAGAAAATGTACCTATAAACTTGTGACTTTGGCAAAGACTTTCTAAGACAGAATGTAGTTGGCCCCAAATTGCTTATCTGGCATTATCAGCAAGAGATGAGCTAAGAAAAGAATTGGCCTTTTTTCCAAGTAAGAATGGAAGAGAAAAGGAGCATCCAGAAATCCAGAGACAGAATTGAAAGATGCAACAGTTTCTCGTCTCCAACCAGTAAACTGTTTGCAAATTAAGTCAAAACCTTAGTGCAAAGACCAACTCAAGGGCATGCAAAGTTGTTTCTTAGTTGTGTGTGCATTTTCTTACATGGAATAATTTGAATTATTTTTAGTGAATTGAAAGCATATTAGAAGTTTAGCAACTTGAGCAAATTCTGAATATGAAAATACCATACTAACACGTAGGCTATTTTAAGGATGATTTCAAAGAAACTTTAAAGTGGATAAATGGAAGAAAAGCAATTTGTATTATCTATTCTCTTTTAGAAGCCCGTTATAAATATTAGAAGATATGAGCAGTCAGCAAAATTAACATTATAACATGCCTATAAATTTTTTTGTCATCCTTCATAATATGAAGAGCCACTATTTTCATTCTATTAAGTAAAAGTACACCCAATTAAAACTATTACTACTACTACTACTACTACTACTACTAGTCAAACTTGAGAGCAAAGACCAAATCAAGACTATTGTCACCATACAATTTGTTAAGATCCCAAGTAAGTCATTTCACTTATACAAAATGGTTCAGGAAAAGAGACCATAGATTTGGCCCAATGAAAGTCTAAAGAATTCAAATTATCTGTAATTAAGCCTAAAGGAATGTTTTATAATTTTGGATCTTGCTATTGGCAGGAGGCATTAATAGTAAACAAAGATATAAGAGAAACCAACAGTGACCCCTGGGTGGCTCAGTCAAATTAAGCTCTTGAATTCAGCTCAGGTCATGATCTTGCAGTCATGAGATCAAACCCCACGTGGGGCTCTGTGCTGGGCATAGAGACTGCTTGAGATTCTCCCTCTCCCTTTGCCCCTCTCCTGCTCTCTCTCACTCTCTCTCTCTCCCTCTCTCTAAGACAGAAAGAAAGAAAATGAAAAAAAGAAACAATATTTTTTAAAGAGTTGTAGTGCCCAAACTGCCACCAGACTGAATTAAAGGGAGGTGATTGTTTGAACAATAAAACTATTCTCAAGCCCTCAACTTTCTCTGGGCAGGCTGAGGAAGCTGTTCAATAGCCAAGGAGGCATTTTTTCCTGAAGAGGATAGTGGAAAAGAAAGGACCTCCTAGAAGATGAAGTCAAGAGTCACAAAGGACAATAGACTATGAACATACCTCCAGGAAACAAAACTGAAGATTAAGTTTTCTACACTAACTCAGGTTAGTAGACCTTACAACAATTCCTCATTGAGATCTCAGAATTGCTATGAATCAGTGATTGCTGGTTCTCCCCCTTTCCTCTTATTCTAAATAAGAGTGTTTATCATGGGTTCCACATTTTATGATGGATATGTGGGGTACAAATAACAAATCTTTTAATTTATAGGACTTTAGCTCAAGAGAAGCTATATTTGAGCACAATATATATTGTAAGAGCTTGGGTTTCAAGGTAGATGTTTTGATGTTTTTAGAGTATTGTTAGAACGGGGTGACTATGTTTGTTTAAGGAATGGAGTGAACATTTGTGAACAATGGCAGGCTGTATCAGATTGCATTATTTCACAGATATTCATTCCCTCCATACCCTTGCCATGCTCTGTGAACACAGTCTACTTTCCTGCCCACTGACTTTAGCCTAGGTCATATTACTTTCTTTAGCCAAAAAAATATCTCAGTAGAAGTTTTAAATGTGTTTACATATTTTGTATGGCTTGGTACCCAGTCTCTTGATTTTTTTTCCTTCCAAAATGAGAGTAGTATGTCCCAGGTACAGGCTTACTCTTTCATTTCATTCTGGAATGGAATGAAAATATATGTTTCATGGAGACCAGAAGTTTTGAGAAAAAAGAACTATTGACCCAGAATCCCACGCCCTTGAAAATATCCTTCAGAAATGAAGGGGAAATCAAGGGGCGCCTGGGTGGCTCAGTTGGTTAAGTGTCTCACTTCAGCTCAGGTCATGATCTCACAGTTTGTGAGTTCAGGCCCCAGCTGGGGCTCTGTGCTGACAGCTCAGAGCCTGGAGCCTGCTTTGGATTCTGCATCACCCTCACTTTCTGCCCCTCCCCCATTTGTATTCTGTCTCTCTCTCAAGAAAATAAACATAAAAAAAAAAGATTTAAAAATCCTCATACGTGTGAAATAAGTAATAAACTCATGGTAATAAATGATTCTTGTATTAAAAAATTGGTTCAGTAGAGACTGGATTTGGACACATACAGACTGGGTTAAATACGGAAGCTTAGGCCTCCTTGGGTTGAGGCCCTCACTTCATCCAGGACTAACAGTAAGCGGGCTCCGTACCTGCCCACACAAAGCTTCTGTCTTGGAGCTCGCCTGCATCTACTCAGCCCTGCAGCATGATGAGGTGACTCACAGAGGAAAAGATCAGTGGCCTCATTAAATCAGCTGGTGTATGTAGAATCTTTCTGAAGGGCTTGTTTACAAATGATCTGGCAAATGTCAACATCGGGAGCCTCCTCTGCACCTTAGGGGCTGATGGCCCATAGTTGGTGCTGTCCCAGCAGGAGGTCCTGCCCCCTTTACCACTGTGGCCCCTGCTGAGCAGAAGGAGGTGGAAGCAAAGAAAGAAGAATCCGTGGAATCTGGTGATGACACAAGCTTTGGTCTTTCTGATTGAACCTCTTCTGAACCTGTTCAGTAAAAAGCTGAACTCTTAAAAAAAAAAAAAAGGAAGTCTGCAGGGGATCTTTACAATTTCATTGGGGAGTTCCACTTAAAAGGAGTTTGATCTTACAGGTGGGCAAGATTCATTTAAGTTCTCAGAGCAAGTACAAAGATGCGCATGTGGGAAGCAGTCAAGAGAGTACAGCAGTTTCTTAAGGACACTATGTTACTGAGAGGCTCAGTACTATAGGAAATACAAGTTATGTGCCATATTTTTACTTGAAAACTTCTCCATGCTTCCCAGACAATAATATTGCAAATGAAGACCATGGCGGCACAAATAAGATGAAAGTAGGCAGACCTGTCAGGATCACAAGGGCCTCTAGCTTGTTTGGCATCTTTTGCCAGCTGGGTGGGTACTACAGCCAAGACAAGCATCACTAGGATATAAAGGCTTATGCTGACTTGAAAAGTATAAATAAGTTCTGGTTGAGAAGTACCCATCCGTGAAATCCGCATTAAATGGAATTGGAGAAAGTCTTTGTTGTATTTGAAAAGGTAATGAGGGCATAGGTGCTAGTATTTGGTTTTGGAGAGGGCATAGTCAAGAGATTCCCTATGCCAATTGATTTCAACTTTTTTGATTATAGTCTGCAGCAAGAAATACATCTTAGACTGTAATCTATACACACATTTGTAACTATGTCCATATTGATATGTTAAGTATACAAATTGTTGCAAAACAATCCATACTTTATCTGGATAAGAGTAGATTGTGTTTACCGTTTACTGTAACTGTGATGTCAGAAACTATAAATTTCCTTATTGTCATTGCTTTTGTCTCCCCCTTAGTCTTTGGGTTTTCATAGAGACTCTTCAAATAACATCTGAGGCTTATCGTTCCCTTAGCTTTAATCCTCTGATATTATACAGGAGCCCTAACTGATGTGGTGCAAGGTGTAGGGTGAGGGAAAGTATTCTGTAGGCCTATGAGTAGGCCTCAGTCTTTAAGGGACTCTAAGCTCGGTATTTCCCATCCCTCAGGCCGGTTAAGCTTTCGTAAAACCCCAATGGGCTAGGCCGTGGTAAAATAATTTCCCTTATGGGTAGACCTTCCTAAGAACATATTTTAACATGGTTACTTTAACCCAACCCCTGCCAGAAGCACTAGCAGGTTTGTCTTCCATCTTCACAGTGAGAATACGATAGGAGCCCTGGAGGTAAAAATAGAAATGGGAGAGATCCATTAAAACTGGGCCCCCTTGGAGTTTTTAACTTTTAAGCTAGTCTACATTGAGATACTTAGTAATTCATCAGTTACAGTTCAAAGTGTCCCTACAGAAACCAGCTCCAGCAACTGGCTACTTCTCTTAGGCTTATATTCCTGGTAAACTGCAATCCTCTGTATCTTCCTGTGGGTCTCTGTTTTGTGAGGCAGCAAATTTGTCCATTGACCTCAGTTCTCTGATGACTTTAAGTTTCAGCTTTTTTCTTGTCCCGAGGTTCAGAGTGACAACTTCCATGCACTTTCAATACTTTATTTTGTGCAATTTGATTCTTATTTTAAAAATTTCTGGTTACAACCCACCAAACTGGGTTAGTTTGGTGACTATACGAGTATTAAAAGAAAACACAATTGGATTATTCTATAACCTGAAAGTAGGGAAGCTGTGACTCCAGAAGCAATAAAAATGATAAATTTGATGTGATAAAAATTAGAAATGTAAATATAAACCCAGCTAAATTAAAAAAGACCAAATGACTGGCTAGGAAAAAGTATATGTTATACACAAATGGTTCATCTCTTTACTATATATAAAAGCTTCTAAAACTGAAGAAAGACAACCCGATAAAAAAAAATAGGCTAGAAATATTAACAGAATTCATAGGAAAGGGAAATGCAAATGGCTGTTAAACATAAAAGTTTTCAACTACATTCATAATAGAAGTGCAATTTAAAACTTCACTGAGTTACTCTTTCTTTTTTTGCTTTTTAATGTTTATTTATTTATTTTTGAGAGAACACAAATGGGGGAGGGGCAGAGAGAAAGAGAGAGAGAGAACATAAGTGGGGGAGAGGCACAGAGAGAAAACACAAATGGGGGAGAGGCACAGAGAGAGAGAGAAAGAACACAAGTGGGGGAGGGGCACAGAGAGAGAACACAAATGGGGGAAAGGCAGAGAGGGAGAGAGAGAGAGAATCCCAAGCAGGCTCCACACTGTGGCACATAGGGATCTGGGTGCACTGCTCAAATCAAGAGTCAGATGCTTAACCAATTGAGCAGCCCAGGGCCCTTATCAAATCCAAAAAAAAGTCCAAAAGTTTGCAACACACTCTGTTGATGAGGCTGTGAAGAAATAGGTGCCTTAACACACTCTTCTGGAAATACAAAATGTTGTAACTCCTAAAGAGAAGGGAATTTGTCAGTATATAGCAAAATTACACAAGTACTTACCCTTTGATTTAGCACTGCCACTTCTAGAATCTACAAAGATACAGTGGGAAAAAATACAAAAAGACAGGTTCACAAGGAATTCATTGAAATATTATTTGTAATAACAAAGATTGTAAACAACCCAAATGTTTATTAATGGGTAATGGGTTAGCTAAAACCATGCTGTATCAATACGGAATACTTTGCAGCTGTAGAAAGGAATGAGTAATATCTATAAATATTAGTATGCTATGATTGCAAGGAGATATTTTTTAAGTTTAAAAAGGAATGTTTATGCTATGCTATCATTTCTCTACGAAAGTGGGAATATTTCCTTATATTAAAAATAAAGGAAGAGGCACCTAGTGGTTCAGTCAGTTGAGTGTCTGACTCTTGATCTCAACTGAGGTCATGATCCCAAGGTCGTGTGATTGGGCCCCATGTTGGGCTCTGCACTGAGTATGATACCTGCTTGAGATTCTCTCTCTCTCTCCCTCTGCCCCTCTGCCCAGCTCCCATGCTTGCTTGTTCCCTTTCTCTAAAAGAGATAATAATAAATAAACAAATAAATAAAACAAATGGTGGCGAAGACATGGAGTGACAGAAACACTCATTCATTGCTAGTGGGAAGGCAAAATAATACAGCCACATTGGAAGATAGTTTGGTAGTTTGGTACAAAGCTAAGCAATACTCTTTACTCATATGATCCAGGAATAATGCTCCTTGGCATTTCCTCAAATAATTTGGAAACTTATGTCCACACAAAAACCTTCATGCAAATATTTATTCTTTATTCATGATTGTCAAGCAATCAAGATCTCTTTTAATAAGTGCAAGGCTATGAATGTGCCCCTCCTGTCCTTGAATTTATATGTTGAAACCTAACAACCAAGGTTATGGTGTTAGAAGTTGGAGCCCTTGCAAAGTGATAGGTCAGGAGAATAAGGCCTCGTGAAAGGAACCTTACAAAAGAGGTCAGAGAAAGCTTTGCGCCTTCTACCATGTGAGGTTATGCTGAAAAGTCAGCATTCTGCAACCCACAAAAGGGTCTTCACCAGAACCCAACCATGCTGGCATCGAGTTTTGGATTTCCAGCCTCCAGAACTCTGAGAAATAAATTGCTATTTTTTATAAACCACCCAGTCTGTGGT